TCAATCTTGCACTCTTATATATGGTAATCTGAGCAACTACCCTGAAGATAACAATATGCAATACAACAACCATTGTTAATTTCCTATGGCCTTGTTTTAAAATTCTGTATCATTTTTACTTTTTTTTTGTTGTTTTGTTTTTTTCTTTGTTGTTGTTAATTTGGTTTTCTTTTTCTCTTTAAAATAAAACAAAAATCCCATCCTCACCCTTACACACGCACATCATTAAAAAGCCAAGTGCAGCTCCTACATTTACATAGCAGATGAGTGAGCTTTTCTTTCATATGCAGGCCTAAGAAGAAAAAAAATCTGATCCTTCTATTAGGTAAATAAAATTATCAGTTAAAAAAGGTTCCCCCTTCATCTTCTGCCATTCCTGAGATATTAATGTACTGAGTTATCCCCACGGAAATTGGAAAAACTATTTACATAAATCCTCCAGTCTACCAAATTGCAACTTGCTCAAATAAATCAGACATAGAGCCTCCGGTTTCTGTGAGTTCTGGTGAGCAGAACTCTATGTTGGAAATCACATCCAATACATTTTTCACAATCTGCCCATAATTAGTTTCACTGGGAAAACTGTGAAGAACTATTTTGCTACTTTTAAATTCATAATTTTGGTTCAAGAGCCCAGAATAAGATGTTTAGACAGAGTGAAAACTATTTTCTAACAAATCAATATTAATTTATCTGACTGTTATGGTCTCAGGAGCCAAAAAGTGTTCTTGTACCGAGCTGACAGGAAAGATTTTATCCTGACCAAATGTTATTCAAATATTTATAAGACTGGATAATTTAGTAAAGAAAATACAGATGGAAGCAGGCAAGAGTACTTTTTTTTTGTTGGTTGGTGCTCCCTTCCCATTTACAAATGACAAGAACTATAAAAAGATGGAGAGTGATGAGTGGCTCCCTCCCCTAAGTACGCTCCTGGACCAGTTGGCCGTTTAGCAGACACCACGCGATTACTGCGATCTGGAGGCATTCTGCCACCATCAAAGACACTCTCCGTGGAACCAGTGGTGCCATTTTGATCAGGAAGAAATCACTAGGCCGTGGAGGGAAGACCTTCCCAGGACCTGCTGAGCATCTGCAGGCTTAGCAAGGCCTCCACGGTGGATGACACAGCGAGAGGAGGGTAGAAGACAGATACCATGTACTGAGTATGCTCCACATTATTACCTCCACCTCTCAACAACCATGAAAAAGAATTGTGTGTGTCTTGGTGAATCTCTTTTAGAGTATCACATACATAAAAAAGAGCACAAAACATGCATGCGTCACTAAATGAATTTTCACAAGCTGAACATACCCAGCACTTGATTAAGAAACAGCACTATATTGGCATAGGAGAGCCCACTTCATGCGCTCCTGCCTCCTCTATCCTGACTTCTCATTAGCACACAGATATTTTGCCTTTTATTGAGCTCATTGTAACTGTAAGCACATGGGATGCCTTCTTCCCTATTTCCTTTTTTCTCTCCAATCAGGTTTGTGAGATTAATCAATAGTGTTGGGTTTTGGTTAAGGTCATTCATTCTCATGCAGAAATTTCAATCTGGTATGTACTTAAGAGTGGAATTGCTGGGGGATCAGATATGTTTCATGTTCAGGTTTATAGAGATGGTGTTATTAAGTCTTCCAAAACAGTTACGTTATTATCATGAGGAGCTTTCTGCCTTTAAATAATCTTTTTATTTCAGAATACTTTTAGTTTACAAGAAAGTTGCAAGGAGAGCACACAGAGTTACTATATACCCTTCTCTCTCCCCTAGGACAGTATTTCTTGTGACTATAACACATTATTAAAATGAAATGATTAACATTGGTGATTAGCATTAAGTAAACAGACCCTACTTGGATTTCACCATTGTCAATGACTATCCTTTTTGGCTTCAGGATCCTATCAAGTTAGCTTGAGGTGGCACTCGGGGTTTTATCTTTGTTTCACAAATGAGAAAAAGAGGTACGCTGGGTTAAGTAGCTCATCTGCGTTCACAAAGCTTAGAGGAGGGCCTATAATAATTCCAACCCCAACAGCAACCTCTAATCTCTACTTCCTGAGTCCTTCTGTGGTCTGCGTGTGGTGTGATGTCTTCCAAGAACTGAATAAGCTATTCTTGAACACTGACTGTGGGCTGGGATGCGGGGACACTGAGGGGAAGGCATCCCATAGATGCTTCCAGTTTGGTCCTAGTTCCTTGTATTGGGAGCAACCACGGAAACATATTGCCCTGACTCCTTGCTGGGGCTCAGAAGACAGGCTTTGCCTGCCTAATCTGTGGGGCCAACATCCGGCATGCACTCAACAGACCTATGCAAATATATAGATCTTTAGACACTTAAAAAAATAGTGTGGGCTTGTAAAAAAATAAAACCAAAAACAACTTGATACTGAGAATGCATGGTGTCCACACAGCCTCTCTCCACCTCTATTGGGGCTTAAGCTCAATCATCACCTATCAGGAGCCATGTAAGATAAAAGAGAGGAGAAAAGATAATCCTGGCTCTATCTGGCCACTGTGCCATCTTGGCCGTGTCACCTACCCTCTCTGGGCCTGTTAGCCTGGAGCTATAAAGCAAGCACACTCCTGCTGTCCTGGATCTCTGCTTGTGCTTGGTAAAGGCTTTTAAAACTGCAAACATGCCACAAATATGTTGGGAGATGTTGGCCTTATGACATTTATCTTTCACAGTAAAAGAGAAATAATGATTAAAATGAAAATGCTAATATTACCAGTTCTTGTAATGCCAGAAGAAATTGCATGCATCCATAGAGTCACTGTAGAAACCACCCAAGTAGAAGAACCATTTGGGGGTAAAAAGCTAGAAGGACAATCCCTGATCATTTGATTAATCATATTTATTATTATTATTATTATTACTATCTGTGGGCCTGAAGAGTGAACTCGGGGCCTTCATACTAAGCTAAATACTTACACCTTTTTTATTTTGAGACAGAGTCTCTAAATTGTCCAGGCTGGGCTTGAACTTCTGATCCTCCTGCCTCAGCGTCACACAGTGTTAGGATTACAAGCACCTGCTCCCACACCCAGCGTTGCTATTACTTCTGGAGTGATTAGTGGAGACCTAGCATATTGGGTATAAATATTGTCTACAAAGACTTCATGGGATGGAATTAGAAAGAATGCCATGGAACAGGACAAAGACTCTCCACATCAAATCACAGGGAGTCTTGATCTTAAAGCTGGATAAGGATTGCCTTAAGGAGATGGGCTACTCATTATTCCCAGCAAGGAGCCTAGCAAAGAGTAGGCACTTCACAAGTGTTTGTTGAATGAATATTTAATCTGCCAGGCTGAATGGACTGAAAACTTTGATCCTCTCATACTCTTTGAAAATTAATATTGGTCAAAACCTATAGATCAGTTTTCTAGAAGTTTTGCTCTTTAAGATAAACCCAATTACATTAGACTGTAAAATTGTTCAGATTTTGCATGAGCAGCAATGACCATGTAGATAGGATTTTATCAGAAGCTCCACAGACCAGGAAGGGAAACTCTTGATGAGAATGAGTGTTCTGGAAAACAGGAGACACAGTCCTGTAGATTCCAGGAGTCAGTATCAGATACAACAAAGCAGGACATTTCTCTGCAACATGAAATGATCGCAGCTTAGACACGTACTGTCACCTTGGAAAAACACATTGTGTTTCCACTCAGTATATCAACGGAGAGACAATGGTAGCGTTGGCAAAAAACAGCCACTCACACTTACGTGAACCCTCGGATGGACTGCCGTCCAGAGTACCTCAGCAAGTTAGGCGAGTGAATTCCCTCGCCAGTGATAAATAAGGAGCAAAGGGAACGAGGAAGGGCATTTTGGCTGGATTCCAAATGCGAAAACCTGCCTATCCACCTTCAAAATGATGCAAGATTGCAGTTTGTTTAATGTTCATCTTACGTGCTTAATTACCGATAGTGCTTGACTAATTATTTCTTGTTTTGTAGACTACTTAAACAGAGAAGGAAAGCAGCTATATACTTTTGTATACTGAATGAGGATTTGTAACTCATTTTTGTAATCGCGTAATTCCCAGAGGGCTTCATTACAAACACGAAAGAAAACAAGATGCTAAAAGCAGGTGACAGTCTAATTTCTACAGGTACGGGTAAAAGCATTAGAGTGAAGTAATGGAAAAATAAAATAAAAAATAGCCTTTAGATGTTTCCACCCATGTAAGGTGTTTTCATGTTAATAAGAGAGAAAACTGCAAACCCAGCAAAGTCGCCTCCGTTAGGTGCTGGCGTCTTCTCTGATGCCCGATTTGATCCAACATCCTGCAAGATCATGAAATAAACCACAAAATAGACCCCAGGTTTCTTTTGCATAAATGTGAGTGCTTGGCAAGTTGCATATGGCGGCATCAGCTGGGATCATTTCTTTGTTTTTACTTTTTTACTGTATCCATTTTTCAGGTACGTGAGCCACAACCCAAACCACTGTACCAGTCCTCCCAGATTTCAGAAAAATGTGAAACGTCCCCTAAAGAATAACGGGGGAGATGAATACCGTGAGAGATGCTTGAGAGTTCAGTCTGCAGAGAAGCACCGCTGGGCACAGCGTGGACTGAAAGTGGGCGCCATGGTCATATGATTAACTCTTTCTTGGAGAATCTGCTCTGTTCCCAGGGGTATTAGATGTCTGGGGAAGTGGGTACATCCTGAAAAAGCAGGGGCCTTGATCCTACCCTCAAGGCATGGGTAAAGGAATTGAGAATGTGAAATAAGAACTTTGCAAGAACAGCAAGCACTGTCTTCACGGTCATGGTTATCATCATGACAGGGGTCACCATTTGTTAAGGCCTTACTGGGTCTCAAAGCAAGCGTCACACACACCCCACCTGATCACCGAGCCCCGCAAAGTAGACAACACCAGCCCCTTTTCCAGTTCATGACTTTCGGGGCTACGTGCCTTCTGATCACCTCCCTCTTTTCCTCCCTGGGGTTTCCAGTTTTAAAAAAATACTGAGGGTTACAGAAGTCATAATTTATTTCAGTAGCATGGTCAGGGGAGAAGCCAGATTGCCGGGCACTAGAGGGAAGCAAGTTAGAAAGGAAATTAAAAATGGATAGCATTTATAGAACGCTTACATGTGTAAGCAGTGTGCTACATTCTTTCCATACATTATCTCGTGCTGTCCTCTGCAGCCCTATGAGAGAGCGTTAGCAATCTTCGGATAGTAGCTAAAAATCTGCCCTGTGCTAGGATGCTTTGGAGAACAAACAACACCTTTACCTAGGTTGTTTCCTTTGCTGCTTCCCCCAAACAGAGTAGTTGGGAATGTGAGTGATTATCTCCATTCAGCTGGAAAGTAAACTGCGAGAGGTTTATCTGTCCCATAGTTATCACAGTTATTCAGTGATAAAGCCAGGTATGGGGCCAGTGGACTACCTGCCAGCCAAACTTTCAGTGCGGTATGAGACTTCTACCTGTGACCCTGACTACCACAGTGCAGAAGGGCCACGTGAGCTGCCCCAGGTCCACAGGCTGTGATCTGTGGCTCGGGGTTCTCATCTGCAGTGTGGCCTCCTGAGCATCACGCAGCACGTGCCCCCCAAGCTGGGACAGCTGCTCAGGCAACCAGGTGGTCATTTTCAAATTCCCAAGGGAAAGTTCTTGTGCTGGAAACCAGGTGTGGTTAGAAGCACATGAGGGTGTTGTCTGTAGGGACCTTCCTCCCTAGTGACAGGTACAAATGAGAAAGGGTCCTTGGAGCCCATAAAAGCAGCTCCAACTCATTCACCATCCAAGAGGCAGGTGGGGGATGTGGAACTGAGCACCGCTGGCTGCAAATCTATCCTCATTTGTGTGTGTGTCGGGCTGTATCTTAGTACTTTTGTCATTGCTGAGACAAAATACCTCACACTCAAAGTAAAGGAGGAAAAAATTTTACTGCACCTCACAGTTTGTAGTAGTTTTGGGTCACAGTGGGCTGGTTCCACGGCAGGGTGGTGTGGCACAGGGACATCTTTAGAAGAGAGACAGTTCATGAGAGGCAGAAGGCAGCAAAGCATCAAAGAAGAGAAACAGTTCATGAGAGGCAGAAGGCAGCAAAGCATCAAAGTAGTAAGTGACAGCTGTAGCCCTCTTTCTGTCCCTTATATTTTATCCAGGCTACCTGCACTTGGAGCAAGTAGCACTCATATCCGGGGTGGGGCACCCTTAACCTCAGAGCTGCTCACTTAATCCCAGCCTCACACACTTAAACCCAGCATCACACATCCTAGATCCAGCCACTTCTGAAAAGCCCCACTGTGACTGCATGAGGCTTTGGGTGGACATCTAGACACAAACCATGAGAGACCCTAAGGAAGTCACTTGATGTTTTTGCTAAAATGTACAATGCATAGAATACAGCTATGTGGCTCTGGGTTAAAGTAACTGGACCTCGTACACCAGAAGTACTTCTAGATTCACTTATCCAATGAGTATTTATTGTCTACCACATGCTAACGCCTTTTTGATGCCCTGGAAATATAACAGCAAAATAGTTAGAGAGTTATGAAATTATATTCTTCTACACCGCAGAGGAATAACCAAAAACCTCATATGTCTGTATCTCTGTCTTCTTCTCCATTATATAATACTTGCCTCAAGAAATACAAAGCAGGGGTAAGGCGAGAGGGTGCCAAAGTCAGAGAGGGAGACAGCCCCTTCACAGAGGGTGGGGACAGGTCTCACGGAGAAGGGGACATGGCAGCACAGCCTTGGGCTGGAGAGGAACCCAAGCAGCAGCGTGGAAGGAACATCCTAGGTGGGCGGAATAGCAGGACAAGGATTCCGAGCTCGGAGACCGTGGGACAAGTGGAATGTTTGAGGAGTGGCTGAAGCAGAAGGAGAGAATAGAACAGGTAGACACTGGCCAGAGTGGGGGAGGCAGGCAGGTCAGACAAAGAGGGACTTCTATCCTATTGTGAAGACTTTACCTTTTAATCAGCCTAAAATGGGATGTAATGAACCAAGACCTAGACAGATAAAGTAGGAGGAACTATTCTGGCTTCCTTGCTCACCTGGGTAAATTCAGTAACACAGGAGATCTGTAAATGCGAGACCTTCTCCGTTCTGAATCTGAGCTGGAGACTCAGCCTTGACCTGGGAGGGCTTTAAAGGAAAAGTATTTGTTTCTAGAAGAGGTATTTAAATGTCCTGGGGCTCTTTGAACCAGCAGAAATAGGAATCACTTAAGTTAACAGGCGCAGTAATAAGGCTGTACAGAAGAAGTTCACATTTTCATACTTTATGCCTTAATTTTAAGGAGAGTTACAAGATTTCCTGTAGGAATGCAGAGTGTTATCTTATTTTATGCCCCAAACTAGAAAGAGCGTTCCACTGGGTTTGCCAAGCTGTTAAGATGAAAATATCTGTTTGAGCACAGCATAATAGATGAGGTGTTTAAGGCATTTTCCTTTAGATTTTTGGTTAATCTTCTTTTAGTTAATTTTCTGAGATAAAATCCAGTTATAAATAACCTGAGGGTACCCTAACTGGGGTGTTCTGAGAATGGTGAATCTTTAATAGCCAGGACTTCTGCCTTTTTAGAGATCTCTAGAGGAAGCAGTACTTTGAAAATTATCCAAAGCGAAATAAGTCGAAAGCATTAACAAATTAAAGAGAGGGAGAGAGAAAAGAAAGGGGCAAATAAGAAAACTTCTTTGACATTCACAAGACGGCAGATCTTACCCTTGAAACTCCTTTTAACAAAATTCAAACATTCGAAATCTATTTGCTGATTACAACAGAGAATTGGTGAGTTTCTGTCATGTGGGAGTAGCAGGAAACTCATCCTTTTTACAAAAGATAGCAGAGAAGCATCCAGACAAAAGCTAGAGTGTAGGAAAAGAAGCAAGGCCCTAGGCAGCCATTCCTTAGATGGGGGTACAATAGGTCTCATCTTAAAATAAGAAGTTTTAGAACTGCTTTTAGAGATAGCTGGTGGAAGAAAAAAGAAACCCTTAAGTGTTCTCTCTTGTTGCAGCGTAAAGTGAAATATACAAAGGGATTATGAGGCAGCATGCATAAAGAAGTCATGTAAACTAGGTGAAATCTGAATACCTCCTCGGAATAAAAGCGCAGGTTGGTGCTGTCCCTGCACAGCGGATATATTACCACAGAGCCCGTTCATCAAAATAAAAGAAGGCACAAGTCCTACAGTGGGCATCACTCTAAGCAGAACAATCTGCTGACTGGATGAGGGAGGGGACCCTTCCCAGGCACTCATGGGCTAAAGAGCACCAGTGGAGAAAATTAGCACTGGTTTCTGCAAAGCCCTATAGGGGTGAGAGAATTTCTTTAAAAAAAAAAATTGAATAAGATGCTCTAGAAACCTGTAAGTCAATAACCCTGTCACCAAGTGCTGGATTATCCAGGACAGGCAGTGCCTAGGTTGACAAGCATGTTAAAAGGCTGCAGAGCTGTAATCAAGCAGGAAATTGCCACTGTGGCTTAGAAACACCAGGTCCGGCCGATGGCTCTGCCTCTATCTTCCTAAGCTTCTAGAAAGGGAGGCTGGTGGGATGACTGGGCATCTGAGGATGCTCACCTTGAGATAAGCAATACGAGGACTCAGAAAGAGGGGCAGAGTGAATCCCATATAACTAGGAAGAGAAAAAAAGAATTAAATACCAGCCAAATCACCCTATCCCAGTGATAGTTTGTCAAATCGAGGTTTTTTTTAAATACTGGGGGTGTAACCCAGTGCTTTTGTATTAAGCTACATCCTAGCCTTTTTTTATTTTTCATTTTGAGACAGAGTCTCAATAATTCCCAGCATAGACTCACACTTTCCACCCTCCTGCTTCAGCTTTCAGTGTCCCAGAGTGCCAGGATTACAGGCGTGCACCACCAAGTTCTGTTTTTGTTTTTCTCTTTTAATCTCTCCATGCAGATTAGATCCTTGGGAACTAGAGAAATGCTAATTTGGTATAACCAGAAAACTCAAACGCTGGGAGAGGAATAAAGGTAGAGAATGGCTTATATAGAGAGACAGCCATCTCCAAGGCCAGCACACTGGGGACTTGAGCAGAAATCCATTAGTAGATTTACTAGGAGCGGTGGAACCGAGTGGAGCACACTACACCCTGCACTGGAGTGACAGCCAGACCTCCTGAGCTGCTTCATCCTGGGCCACTCTTTCCTATCCCTGGATTCAGCCCTGGAGCCTCTTTAGAAGGCAGCCAGTGTGCTACATGGGAAGAACTCGGCTTCTAAAGAACCTTATTAACAGTTAATTAACAGTCTTCTCAGGAACATGAGGAATGGCAGATCTCTTTAAGAGGTCAGGTTCTTCAAGGTATTTGTAGAAGTCAATGGGGCAGACATTCTTGGATAAACTGTATATTTTTTAAAGGAGTGGCCCAGCCAACCTGGTAAAAGTTGTTTGTCCAGAGCCTGCCTCCTGGTCTGTTTCCTAGTAAGCCTCAGTCTGAGGCTGAGGCTGTCACCACAGCCCCAGAGTCATCCAAGGGTGACCTGGCTCCTTGCTGTAGGAGGTCACCTGGGGCTTACAAGACTTAGCTCAGGCCACCCAGGTGCAGAAGCCCCAGAGCCGTGGTGAGCACAGCTCTGAGCTCCATCAAAGCCTGGCCCAACAGGGCAGGTGTCCCCTGGCGCTCTGCAAACACCCTCACAAGGCTTTAATTTGGGCACTCAGGCTCTAGTTCATCCTGCTCCCTCCTGCCGCCACCGAGACAGGGTTATTCAGCAAGTTCAGCAGTGCATACAGGTTACATGAACAAGGACAAAGCCACAGGCAAAGAAATGCCCTCTCCTCCTGTCTTAGAAGGGCAGCTGGGATTATTATTCCTGGCTGCCTCATTAAAAAAAAACAAAGAAAAAAGCCCCAGGAATGTTAGAAATTATTACATCTGATGTGGAATGTCTTTTTTTCAGTTATCTGATATTTGGATATTCAACAAATATTTATCGGATCACTTGTATGTGCTACCGTGGAAAATATTTTTAATTGTGTTACCTTGAAATTCGTTTCCCTGGAAGAACTAACCACAGCCAGAAATCTATGTGAGCTGGTTGGTGAGACACATGAGTCTTAGAGGTTGCATTCAGTTTGCACTGTGCAGGCAGTGTTTGATATATAAAAGCAAAGAGCAAATTACAGAGTTAAAATAACCACCAATGGGAGACACTGCATCTGTCCTATTACCACGCTGGTCAGTGATTCAAGCTTGGACCTCCGCTAAAAATTATGAAATGGAAAAGTCAGAGGGAATGTCCCTTACTGGCCCCCTGTGACTCTAAACTTTGAAGAGCTTATAATTCCTAGAATAGACAGTCATAATGTGTGTCTATGTGTTTAGGAGAAGAGAAATTGAAATTGGGTCACTGTCATCAAATAAAAGAGAAACCAGAATCTTGGATGGGAATCGAGAGTATCTTGAAGGAGCCTAGCATCTGCCAGGCAGATTTAAGTGAAATAAAGGGATTTCCTCCTTCCTAAGTGATGGTTACATGGTACTTTGTCAGAACACTCAGGCCTGATCTCACATATGCACAGGTGACAGACAGAAACTTTAGCAGTGATTTGTAGTTATGGAAGAAGTACCCCCAGGACTCCAAGACAGGTCACGGGGGAGACTTTGGTCTATGTTACTCAGCTTTCAAAACCTTTAAGCCCACCAAAGTATGGACTCCTGAGCCAGTGACGTCAGTGATGAATGTCACCCTCTCCAAGCATGCTGGTCCCTCAGTTAGTTGGAAGAGAGACCCAGGAGCAAGATGGAAATATACTGCACTCTAGGCTCACTCCAGAACAAAACACTGCATCTTCTCTCTGCTGGCTCCTACTTTGGCTGAGAGGCTATCTGGGACAATTTCTTTTGTATTTAAAAAACAGAAATCTATAAATCTGCGGCACTCTTTCATCTCAACAGAGTAAGTGTGTATGTGTGGGTGGGAGGGGTGGGAGCCCAGTCGACCACTACTGCCTTCCTCCTCAAAACCATGGCCAAATCACTAATGTATCAAGTCTTTCCCAGGACTCCCACACAGCTTGAAAATCCTTCTAGCACTCTGCTTCCATCAGCTGTTTAAGGTGACCAGACCTAGGTCATGAAATGAGTACCATTTTACATCCTTGATCTGGAATTGTTACCGGGTGAGGTGGGAAGGAGGTGTGCATGCTTCTGAGCCATGTTGGTAACTGTAGTCCAGCCACTTGTCAAATGCAGAGGTAAGCTGTGAAGACACACTGAATATAGCCGAGTGGCTGTCTGTGTGTTTGGGTCAGACAAGACAAGCGCAGCCCCTGAAGAGTGTCTGGATTCCTGGAGCCCCTCCTAATCCCTGAGCATCCTCATCCTTAGCAGGGAGCCAGAAGAGTCCTCTATTTTGACCTATTTCTCAGGACTGGGGAAATACTAGGCTGCACCCAATAGGGTCCACAAGGCTGTAGGATAGCTGATCCTGCTGCTATCCTAGGATAGCTGTCTAAGATAGCGGATGGTAAATTAAAATTTACATGTAACTTTGATTATCCACTCATATATATATATATTAGTATTTAGATAATTAGTGGCTAAATGAACATATTTACACTGGGTAACTCTGAGTAAGAAGTTATGGGTCGTTTTCATTTTCTTCCTTTAAAAACTGGGCTTTATTTTTTGACTTTTTACAGATTGTGTGTGTGTGTGTGTGTGTGTGTGTGTTTGTACACAACTGTCTTTTAGTGGAGAGAAAAAAAGAGGTGTCGATTTCCCAGGAATACTAAGGCATACTAGACATCCATGAGAGAACCAGGTGACATACACGCCAGGAGAGCTACTGCTCTTTCCTCTCTGCTAGGCAGACCCCTGGCCGTCACTGTTAAGGGTGTGGCCTGTGAGTTCTCGCTGTGTGCAGTGCGCCAGAGGCATGAATCTCTCATCGCCATTCCCTGCAATCTGTTATCTCCTTCATAATTTAGGGGCATTCCTACTAAACAGATGACAGATAGAAGTAGAATTTGGCTTATGAAGTACAGTTAGTGAAAATCTTCCTGTGTTTCTTTTTTTTAAAAAAATAATTATTTTACAGTTACCATCATATTTTTTTTTTTTTTTTTTTTTTTGGTTTTTCTCCGGTACC